GAGTTAGAGCTTTAACATACTGTGTCTAGAGCAGTTCTCCCTGGAATGATAAAACATTTCCTGTGGTTTAAGCCAGTTTGAATTGGGATTTTCTCAACAGAAGAAATTCAGCTGATATAAAATTTGAATTCTAGGCATAAAATGCTATAAGTAAAAGAACCTAAATAATAGGATTTAGGTGGAAGCTGGTCTGTCTAAAAGCAGGGAGAGAGATTATTAGTTTTTTTTTGGTGGGGATCCTGAAGTCAGTAATCTGTAATCCAGATTGAGTATGAGTCTGATAATTTGGAACCTTTAAAGGTTGGCAAAGCCAAATTATCGTCCAAACTGAGGTTAGTTCAAACACATGAGGGAGGTAAGAAACTTAGCAAAAATAAAAAAAGTGAGGGTTAAAAAAACCCCAAAAAACAAGCGTTTTTGTCAGGGTCCTTTCAAGCATTCCTGGTCAGACAAAAGGGACCCACTTCCATTGTTTGAAATTGCCTTAATATAAAGGCTGTTCAACTGAGGGCCCCTGGGGTGTCCAGGATATTAAAATGGTGGTAAAGACACATTTTCAGACGCAGAGAAAATGTCTAGACAAAATTGTAGGCTGTGGCTACTAGCCAGGCAAGTAAACAGAAGCAAATAGACAGGGCTTACTTAGTTTTTAGTATCTGTATTGTCAAAGAAATTCCAAACTTAACCAACATAGTCTGGATGGTTTGTCCTAAGGCTGTCTGTCACATTCATCATGCATTGATATGGTGCTTGGTGCATTGGGAAGAGGTAAATCATGGAGAATTCTAGAGTAGTAGAGCTTTGAAGGACTCTTCTTGAATCATCTTATCTCCAGATTTCCTGTTATGTGAGGAAAATAAATACCATTGCTGTTTAAACCAATTTCAGGAAGACATAATATTTCACAATTAAAGACATTTTCCCTGATAGAGTTCATCATGAAAATATGATTTTAATCTTCAGGATTGCCTGGACGTTTCTTGACTTATGCCCATAGGGCTATGTTATTTGCTCCAAACATATTTAAGCCTCCTACCCTCATTCTTAGGTCCTGCCTGTGTTATCCTTACAGCCCAAACTTGATTCTATCAGTTTTTGTGTTCTGTAGTATGGTAAGAAGAATGACCTCACAAAGATGTCTTAGCCTAATTCCTGGAACCTATGAATATTTTAAGATAGCACTCCCATGATTTTATTATATTATTTGATGCAGTTGATTTTAAGATGAGGAGATTCTTTGGGTGGATCTAATTTAATCACATGAGTCCTAAAAACGAAGCATTTTTTATGTTGGGAGATGGGAAAGTTGGAGAGATTTGCAGTGTAAGAAAAATTCATTCATGGAACTGTTGCTGGCTTTGAGGATGCAAGAGTCCATGAGCCGAGGAACGAGCTTGGCTTCTAGAAGTGTAGAATACCTTGTCAAACGTTAGCAAGGAAATGGGGACCCAAAGTCCTTTAACTATGTGGAACTAAATTCTGTCAGAAACTTGGAGCTGGGATGTGAATTCTTGCCCAGAGCCAGGTAAGAGCCCAGGTCAACTGGTACCTTGTTTTTAGTCTTTGGAGACCTTAAGCAGGATACCTTCCTTGGTCTTTTGTCCTACTAGAAACCGCGAGATCATTAATTAGTATTGTTTTAAGCCACTAAGTTTGTTGGAAATTATTATGCAGCAATAGAAAAATAATATATTTATCCTTTGGCTTATCTATATTTCTTGTTGTTTTTCTTCACTTACATTCTCTCAAAAGTGAACTGCTTCACCTGTATTCCAGGGTCCCTTCTCTTCAGGTCATTGCTCCATCAGTTATCTCCTATTTTTACAGTAGAGAATGGGGTCTGGTTACATTGCCAGCCTGATTTCAAACTCCTGAGCTCAAGTGATCTTTCAACCTCCCAAGTAGTTGAGGGTCAAGGTGTGAGCCACCGTGCCCAGTTCTTTTCAGAAACAGTTTTGACCACTACCTTGGATAAATACCTCCCTGAGTCTCTGGTTCCTCTTTGAACTTAAGTCTTACCCTTGCTTTTTGTTTCCCTTTTCCCACTAATCTTCATCACAACCTTATGAGGTGGCTATTATTATTATCATCTCTATGAAGATAAATAATTTCCTTAAGGTTATAGTATTACCATGGCTAGGCTAAACTCAAATTCAATTCTCTCTGGTCAGAGTTCAACAGCATAGTTACCTCCTTTTGTTATTTTTCATATTAGCTTTCTATTCTTTCTTTCTCTCTGTTAAAACTGAGAGGGGTTTGAGGATTTTTTTTTTTTTGGAGTGATTGACTCATTACATTTTTATCATAAATTGTTTTACATTGAAATATAAAATGTAAAGTGTAGAAATGCTTGGCAAATATTTACATTTTAATTCATGTTTTTGTTTCTTTTTTTTTAATTAAAGATGTGGGGTACAATTCAGTGTTAGGTATACAAATGTTTGTTATGCAGATACCCTTGTTGTTGAGGTGTGACCCCCTCCTCCCCTGGCAGTATCCTACTACTGCCAATCCCTTTCTTATAGAATTATGACAATTGTTCAAGGTCTGCTTATGAGTGAGAACATGTGGACTCTGTTCTTTGTTTCTGTGATAGATCACTGAGTATGATAGACTAAATCCATCCAAGTTGCTACAAAGTTCATATGTTTGTCCTTTTTTATGGCTGCATAATATTCCATTGTGTATATGTACCACATTATTTTATCCCATCCAGTTTCAATGGACGACACGGTTGGTTCCATATTTTTGCTATTGTGATTAGTGCTGCAATAAACATATGTGTGCAGGTATCTTTTTTGTAGAATGATTTGAGTTCTTCCGCTATATTTCCAGTAGGGGAATTGCTGGGTCATATGAAAGGTCAATTTCAGAAAACGTCACGCTGTTTTCCAAAGAGGTTGCACTAGTTTGCATTCCCACCTACAATGTAGAAATGTGTAGAAATGTTTCTTTTTCTCTGCATCCGCACCAGCATCTGTTGTTATTAGTTTTATAAATGATGACCATTCTTAGTGGGGTTGGGTGGTATCTTAACGTGAATTTTGGTTTGCATTTCTCTGATGATGAGTGAGGCAGAGCGCTTTTTCGTGTCCATTGGCTGCTCGTATCTCTTGTTTTGAGAAGTGTCCACTCATGGCTTTTACCCACTTTTTTTTTTTTACTGCTGTAGTCAATCTAGAGGGAAACTTTATCAAGGCCCCAGGGTCATGGGCCAAGGACAGGAGGCCGCCTTGTCGGAGGAACTGGTGAGGGCCTTATTTGACCTTCTTCTTGGGGTGCAGGTTGTTAGTGTGCCCACACTTCTTGCGGCAGCTGACGGCACGGGGATGCAGGTGTGCGTAACACTTGTGGCAGATCATCTTCTCACAGTTGTACTTGTGGGTGAGCTGGCGGAGAGAAGGCTCAATGATGCTACATCACAGGCGCAGCACCAGGTGCAGGGTGGACTCTTTCTGGATGTTGTAGTCCGAAAGAGGTGGCCATCCTCTAGCTGTTTGCCTGCAAATATCAGATGTTGCTGGTCGGGTGGGATGCCCTCCTTGTCTTGGATTTTAGCTTTGACATTCTCGATGGTGTCACCCTCAAGGGTGATAGTCTTGTCCGTGAGGGTCTTCACGAAGATCTGCATCTCTGTGTCTGCCGCACAGCCACTGCCACGGATCAGCCCAGCTGCCCTTTTGCCCACTTTTTAATGGGCCTGTTTGTTTTTTCCTTTTGGCATGTTTGAGTTCCTTGTAGATCCTGGATGTTAGACCTTAGTCAGATATACAGTTGGCAAATATTTTTTCCCCATTCTGTGGGCTGTCTCCCCACTCTCTCAATGGTTTATTTGGCTTTGCAGAAGCTTCACAGTTTGATGAGGTTCCACTTGTCTATCTTATCTCTAATGGCATGGATATCTGGTGTTTTGATCAGGAATTGGTTGCCAGTTCCAATTTCCATAAGGATGTCTCCTGCATTTTCTAAGGTTCTTATAGTTTGATGTTTTAGGTTATGGAACAGGAGAGAGATTCTGGAAACAAAACCTCAATTTCTCAACCAACTCATCTTTGACAAAACCTCCAACAACAATCACTGGGGAGAAGAGAACCTATTCAGTAAATGGTGCTGTGAAAACTGGCTGACCACATACAGAAGACTGAAACATTTTAACTCATTATCTCTGGTTCTGAAATGAGTCTTAATTGGGTTCTTTTTTGTTTTCCTATTTCTGGACATGGTGGGCATCAGTAAGCTGGAATGGAGATTGTGACAGTGTTGTACAGAAATCAGTCTAGGCTCCATTGGCTGCCCACGGTTTTATTATCAATTATTAGGTGATGATAATTAGAAACTAAATTAATTCTTAGACTGTATCCTTCAAGGTAAACCCAACCCCTTAGAAAGGCTGGCAGAGGGTGATGGACTTCTAGTCGCTTGACTTTCACTTGAGCCCTTCCCAACCTCTCGTAACCTTAAATTAATCTCATTTCTACCTTGTGGGCTTCAAGGTTCCCAGCTGCATATTGGTGTGTTTCTTAACACTAATGACATTTTTTAATAATGGCTGGTTGAACCATAAGCTTTCTTAGATTGTATCTTCATACTTTCCCTGTATTTTTTTTCATCCCTGTTTCAAGGTTTCTCCTTTTAAAAACTGTGACATTGAAATGTACCTCATTGTACTTTAGGTAATTCTGTGTTATTTCAACATCTGGTAAACTCTTTATAATAGGAATCTTTTATTTCCTCATTTTCTCAGCTTTATCTTACAGTGTAAATAATTATTTGTGATCATGGATTAATATAAGTTTTGATGAAATCTGAAACATGTATTTCAGTGTGGTGCTATTTCAGGCTAATTATATATTTTTTTCTTGACTAAAAATGTTTTTTATTAAAAAATAAAAAAATACAAAGTATTATTTGATGAATTTTTCTTTATTTTGTTAACTGGCAGAATCTTTGGTGAATTTTACAGTAATGCTTTTCTGCCTTTTCTGTTCTTAACCTGATAGATTTTAAAAGAAAAGGATGAAATGAAAAGCCAACTGTATGCAGCATTACAACAGATAGAGAATCTTCGAAAGGAATTGAATGATGTGCTCACAAAGCGAGCCCGTCAAGAAGAGGAGCTTCACTCTAAAGAGGAGAAACTAAGTGATATTAAGTCTCATCAAACTGATCTTGAACTAGAAGTCAAGAATTCCCTCAATACCATCCAGAGACTGGAAAGTGAATTGACAAAGCATAGTAATATTCAGAGCCAGATGAGACTTGAGAAAACTCACCTGGAGGAAGAAATTGCGGAGCTCAAGAAGAGCCAGGCCCAGGACAAAGCTAAGCTTCTTGAGCTGCAAGAGTCCATCAAGGACTTGAGTGCTATCCGAGCAGATCTTGCTAATAAATTGGCCGAGGAAGAGAAAGCCAAGAAAGCGGTGCTTAAGGACCTTGCTGACCTCACAGCCCAGGTGAAATCTAGGGATGAAGAGACAGCTACAGTCATCACACAGTTAAAGCTGGAACGTGATGTTCACCAGAGGGAACTGAAAGATCTCACATTGTCATTGCAGAGTGTGAAAACAAAGCATGAACAAAACATCCAGGAGCTGTTGAAGCATTTTAAGAAAGAAAAGAGTGAGGCTGAGAATCACATTAGGACACTGAAGGTACCTGCGCTGAATTTTCCCTGTGATACTGAAGGAATTTTTCTGGTGGCTCATGAAGTTAATAAAGCGTAAACTTTTAGAGATCATTCTGTATTCCCAAGCACTGAAGGGAAGATAAAACCAATAATAAAGAGGCTTATTCATGCCTGTTCGGCCAGGTTGAAATGAGTTATAACAGCCACCTGAGAGCACCTATTTCTGAGCCTTGAAGCCCTTTAAAAAGAACGTTTAGCTATTTGGGGAGTTCAGGAAAGGCAGAGGTGGCAGTAAGTTGTGGACCTGAAACGTGCCCTCATTCAACATTTATGACCTACTAAAAAATAAAAGGCAAAAGACTTGTCAAGACCATGGAAGCTGTAACCACAGTCCTTATTAGTATAGTAACTAAAGTGGATCTGCTTAGGAGTGTGTAAACCCAAGACTTTTGAGATTTACCCCTTGTTTGCAAAATCAAAATTGCCTGGGTAGATGGGTAAATGCCTGATTGAGGTCTTGCCTTTGAGGAAAAGTTTCGAAGGTCTAATGGTGTTAGCATTATCACCTTGCAGGGAAATTATTTCATGACATAATTGTCAGGAGTGTGTTAAGTCTTTCCCTCTTGCCGGCTTTATTTTTTTCTCCACAGCACTTATCATCATATGATATAGATTCCAGATTATTTATTTCTTAATCTCCTTTTCTTAGAATAAAGGCTCCACGAGGACTGGGATTTTAGTCTGTTTTTATTACAGCCATACCCAGTGCCTAGAGCAGTTTTTTGAACATTGTAAATATCTGTCGAATAGGTGAGTGAATGAATGGACAAATCTTCAAAGGTTAATTATAATATTTTTCAAAAGTCTTTGAGATACAGCTGCTATTTTATTTTATTTTATTATTTATTTATTTTTTTGAGTTGGAGTCTCACTCTGTCACCCAGACAGGAGTGCAGTGGCCACTCCTGGCCACCGCATCCTCACCCTGCTGGGAGTGGCCACCGCATCCTCACCCTGCTGGGCTCCGGCGATCCTTCCACCTCAGCCTTCCAAGTAGCTGGAACTACAGGCGGGTGCTACCACGCCCAGCTAATTTTTTGATTTATTATAGAGATGAGGTCTCACCAAGTTGCCCAGGTGGGTCTCGAAGCCGCAGGCTCACGCAGTCCACTCACCTCAGCCTCCCAATGCGTGGGATTACAGGCTGAGCCACCGAACCCGGCTATACAGCTGCTATTTTAAAAATGCTTTTGGTGTAAGGTGAAATTATAGTAAAATAACTGATGTATAAAATGCTATACCTATTTAATGAGTTATTTCCCAGTACCATATAGACTTCTGGTAGTAGTGGATTGGGGTTCATTAATTAGGGTAGGCAAGCCAGAATGGAAGCTGGAAGAGTAGGTAAGAGACTCTTACTATATTTCATTAAACCTAAGACACCATCAGTCACAGATGCATCGCTGTTTTATGCTATTATGAAAATAGTGCCTCCTGCCTATGAAACTATGACATGTTATCAAGCGTAAGACAAGTCAGAAATGGTAAAATGTGAAAAATATACATCTCAGTATTGCTGAAGTTTGGAGTCTTTTAGAGTTGATGATGACAGAAATAGAAGTAGTTAGGAATATGGAGAAGAGCTGATCTTAAAAAAATAAAATATATATTACATGTTGATTGATTGGTTTGACAATAATAATAATACTACGAGCCAATATTTTTTTCAACACTTTGTGCCAGTCACCACCACTTTAAGAACTTTATATGTGTTAATTATTTAGTACTCTCCTCAGATTGTATGGTATTATCCTGCAAATTGTTTCATATTATTTTTCTCTCTGATGAGGAAATCTAGACACAAGAGGTTAAGTGACTTACCCAAGGTCTTGCAACTAGAGAGTGGTAGAGGCAGACTTTGAATTCAGGCAGTCAAATGTCTGTGTTCTTAACTACTTTACTGTTCTGGAAGAGGTTCAGAATGAAGGGATGAGTATATCAACTTGGATAATGACAATGTTTACCAACATAGAGAATACAGACACAGCAGCAGATTTGAGAGAACAGTGGTAAACACAGTTTTTTAGCATGTTAAGTTAGGTGAGAGAGACCTTAAGCTTAACCATAAAAATCTAAGTAGATTGCTTTAGTACCCATTGGGTCAGGAGTTGAGGGAGAAATTGAGATTGGAGTGAAATAATTGAGAGTCAGTAACTCATAGGTGGTAGTTGAAATCTTGGGATTTGGATGAGATTGTGCAGGATGAAGAAGAGGATGAAACTGGAACACCAATGTTTAAGAAGGAATTTAGAAAGAGGTCCTAGCAAATAAGAGGAAAAGACCACATGAGAGATAGGAAGAGAATCAGAAGAGAATGGTATCTTGCAAACTCAGGTGGGGCATCTTAAGAAAGACATAATCAAGAGTGATAAGTATAGCAGGAAAATGAAAAGAAATAGCAAGAAAGACTTTATTCCATTCTAGAGGTTGATGGAAAAGGTCTATGAGGAGATATGGGGAAGTGTGATCAAAAATAGAGTGTATAGCATCAACAGGATACAAGGCATTTCTTCCTCTGGAGGTATTGGAGGAAACCAGTAAGAATTGGTAAGTTGGTAAGGATGGTCTGGTGGAATTGATGTGACTCTTGACTGATAGTCTCTCTCTGAAGTAGAGTGGGGCAGTGGTGCAGTAAGAAATCTATCAGTGGTAAAGACAAACCTGCTATGAATATGTATAAACTGCATGAGACTACTGTGGGAGCATGTAAATAACAGCCATGTGGCTGACATTGAAGAATAAAGATCACAGGCAAAAGAATGAGAGAGTTGAGGGATAAAAATCTGTGGTCAAAGGTTGCTTATTTGGTCTTGCATTTTTTTTTTTTTTTTCATTAATCAGTATTTTTTATTATGGTTTTGTGGGGTACAGTTAAGGGTTAGGTGTACAATGACGTTTCATTCAGGCACCCTGTAGATAAGAAGTGTTTTCCCATCCCCCGACAGATATTTGCTACTGTTAATCCCATCCCCCTCCCCCCCATAGTTTCCCAGTACCATCCGTCATTTTCTCATAGTATTGCATTGGATGTTCAAGGTCCATTATATGAGTGAGAACATGTGATATTTGGATTTTTGTTTTTGTGAGAGGTCACTCAGTATTATAGACTCTAGTTCCATCCAGGTTGCAGCGAAATTCATGATTTTGTTGTTTTTTATGTAGTATTCCATGGTGTATATGTACCACATTTTTTTAATCCAGTCCTCTTTTGATGGGCAGCATGGTTGTTTCCAGGTTCTTGCTATTGTGAACAATGCTGCGATAAACATACGTGTGCAGGTATCTTTTTTATAGAGTGATTTGTGTTCTTCAGGGTATATTCCCAGTAGGGGGATTGCAGGGTCATATGGAAGGTCAATTTTTAGAGCTTTTAGGAATCGCCACACTGCTTTCCACAGAGGTTGCACTAGTTTACACTCCCACCAACAGTGTAGAAGTGTTCCCTGCTCACCACACCCTCTCCAGCAGCTGTTATTTTTTGAGTTGTTGATAATTGCCATTCTGACTGGAAGTTAGGTGGTATCTCAGTGTGGTTCTGATTGCATCTCCTGATGATTAGTGAGGTTGAGCATTTCTTCATGTGTTTGTTGGCTGCTCGAATGTCTTCTTTTGTGAAGTGTCTGTTCATGTCTTTTGCCCATTTTATAATGGGGTTGTTTGTTTTCTTCTTTTCAGTACGCTTCAGTTCCTTGTAGATCCAGGATGTTAAGCCTTTGTCAGACCTAGAGTTGGCAAATACTTTTTCCCAGTCTGTAGGCTGTCTCCCTGCTCTCTTGATGGTTTCTTTGGCTTTGCAGAAGCTTGTCAGTTTAATAAGGTCCCAATTGTCTATCTTCTCTCTTAAGTCCTGTAGGTTTCGGGTTTTGTACAGGAATTGGATGCCAGTTCCGATTTCCATGAGAGTATTTCCTTCCTTTTCTAAGGTTCTTATGGTTTGAGGTTTTACATTTAGGTCTCTGATCCATTTGGAGTTAACCTTTGTGCATGGGGATAGATAGGGGTCCTGTTTCAATCTTCTGCATGTGGTCAGCCAATTTTCCCAGCACCATTTACTGAATAGGTTCTCCTCTCCCCATTGGTAGGTGGTGGGGACTTTGTCGAAGATGAGTTGGTTGAGAAATTGAGGTTTTGCTTCTGGAATCTCAATTCTGTTCCATTGATCTATATGCCTGTTCCTGTACCAATACCAAGCTGTTTTGATGATTGTAGCTTTATAGTAAAGTTTGAAATCTGGTATTGTGATACCACCTGCTTTGTTTTTTTTGGCTGAGGATTGTTCTGGCTATTCTTGGATGTTTGTGTTCCATATGAATTCCTGTGTTGTTTTTTCTAGGTCTGAGAAGAATGAAT